AAAAAAAAAAAAATTAAAAATGTGATAAATTGTGTGACTGTTTCAACATTATTGTTGTTATTATTATTATTATTATTATTATTATGAGTGTTGAAAGAGCTCAATAATTTGAGTTGAATTTGGGTTCCCAATGAGGGTGGCTAGTGAAAGTGATTCAGCGAAGAATGGACCAAAGGCCGGCGGACGCCATGGACCCATGTGCCGCCTGCGCCTGCAACTCCAACCTCCCACGCACCCCCTCACTTCATGTGCCTCCCGTTCAACTCAGAGTTTAGTGTTTCAAAAAAGTTTAAAGATATTTTTTGGTGTGGAAATCTTTTATTAGAAACGCGTGACGATATATAACGAGTTAAAATTGACAATATTTACTAGCGATGAATTTGGACTGTTACGGTTGGCATCAAAGCCAGACATCGGGTGGTGTGCTAATGAGGACGTTAGACCTCTAAGGGAGTGAATTGTAAGATTAAGTGTGAAAAACTCTCCCCAAAAACGCGTTTTAAAACCGTAAAGCCGATGGATCGAACTTTTAAATGTATTTCTCAATTACTTCTTCTACCTTCCCCTTCTCCTTTTCTTTTGTTTTGTAGCTTTCGATTCATTCACTCAAATCTTATATTTTATAAGATTTTCGTGGTTCGTGTTATGTTACATCATTTATAATCAATTAATTATGTTTGGATCTTATCGCTTCCTTAATTTAATCAATTTATGTTTGTTTTTAGTTGAATTCTCGCTCGAATGAATGAGTTTTGCACAGTTGAATCTAGATAATTTTTATTTGAACCCTAAAACGTGTGTTTATTGTTATTTAGTCTTATAGCTGATATACTCGTAAATACATATTGTAACACTCAAAACCTACCGCTAGTAGATATTATCTTCTTTGAGCTTTTTTGTTCAGGTTTCTCCTCAAAATTTTTAAAACACTTGTAAAAAATGTCTTGTTCCCCTCTCCAACCCGAGGCCCAGCGTCTTCGCTGGCACTCCTTCCCCTCTCCAATCGATGTGGGATCTCACACATATCATTGAGTTCGAGTTCGAAGGTAAACATCACCTAAAACTAAGAATTTTTTCCACGACTTTAACGTTATCGAACCCTACAAGAAAAATATGAGTCATATGATAATCCCATGAATGTGTTTGCTATCATATCATGAAATTAATAATATGAGCTAGCATAACCAATTAGGTATGTATAGCTTATGGTTTGGAAGGGCCACCACCACTCTTTCCAAGTCTTCACCAAACAAGACTTTGAAAACCTCATCATTTCGAACTAAAACATTGACTCGATTTAGGTCTCGGTGATATCGATTCATTCTCGATCGGATGAAAACACGTTTACGCTTTATTTGATTGGTATATCATGCGTCAAATCATCACTTTTTTTTTTCTTTTCATTTATCCAATAAAACTAGTAATTTTAAATTACTGTTACATTTTTTACTGGTTAAGTTATGCTCGAATTGACTAAATTACTTAGAATAAGTACTCGTAATTTAGTCTCGAAAATCCCAAGTCACCAATTTAATGGGTCGGTGATTAATTAGTTAATTAATCTTTTTGGGTTATTTAATTAATCCATATTTCCACTACCAAATCAACATTAATGGGAAATGGGGATTAGATTGGATTATTTTAAAAAAATTCTATTGCTTTGTGATTTGTGATGTAAATTCAATAAATTACGGGTTAAATGGTAAATCGATCTACTTTCTTCGTTTATCGATTAAAGCTAATCGAGGTGAGATTTCACAGTCCACCTCCTTTGGAGACTTAGTATCCTTGCTGGTACACTATTCGGTGTCTAGCTTTGATACTAACTGTAACAGCCCGAGATCACCACTAACAAATATTATTCGCTTTATCCCGTTATGTATCGCTTTCAGCCTCACAATTTTAAAACGTTCTACTAGAGGAGGTTTTCACACTCAAATAAGGAATTTTTCGTTCCCCTCTCCAACTGACGTGGGATCTCACAGTGCACGTTATTGATATACACAATAACTTTTAAGTATTTCTTCACTATCACTCTCATTCCGATGTGGTATCGATTCATTAACTTGAGCATTACAATCAAAGCTCATCTCCGACAAGCATAAATAAAAAAACCTGAATAAATGTGACAAGATACATTATTTAAAATAATAATAACGCTATATATATATATATATATATGTATGTATGTATGTATGTATGAAGCTAGTATTTAATTAATGAATTAATGTTCAAATTTGTCCATTATATGCAACCCCCATATGAACAATCCTAAAGTTGAGGTGACATTGTCACATATTTATTAAATGCATAGTCAATGATTATGACACACCCACAAATCCATTATTTTTATTGTTATTAATTTATTATTATTATTATTCATGGGTTGTTTCTTGCAAATTTCCTTTGCCTTTACTTAAGCCAATTACATTATTGCCCCTCTTTTGTGTGGAGTGGGAGTGTTTTTGGGGCCAATTTAATTGCCCTTGTATGGTCAAAAAGAGACAAAATGATTTATTAGCTAGAAATTAAATTTTTTTCAACACTAGGGCATGGTGTAGTTTGGAATGATTTGGCAACGTTTGAATAAGCTCGATATTTAGTCAACCTGTTTTGATCTTATGATCGTCGGTTTTGACTTTTTTTATAGAAATTTTAACTTCTAGCTTGACGTGTCCTTAGTTAAAGAAAGAAAAAAAATATGTATAGTTGGAGGTCAAAGACTAGAGTTCGGTTTTCACAACATAGGGAAAAAAGAGCTCTTTTGTTATTCCCGGTAATCCGAGGGTTAAAAAGAGACCTCTTATGAGTCGAAAGGCTTTCTTCAGTGAGTGCAGTCGTTCAACTTCAACTCTTGAAAATGCTAGTAATCACTCTTTCGAGGGTTAGGATTGGGGCATGCTCTTTCTCAATTTGAACTAGCGGAATAGACATTTTTTGGGTCCGAAGGCTTCCTTCTGTGAGTGTGCTTTTTCAACGTTTCTATGGATATGGACATTTAAATCTTTTCAAAACATTTCAAATTTTGGAGTTTGGGTCGTCATTTATAGGCTTTTGAACCGACCACTCACACCTTAGATCAGAGGGGCAGTTTTGGAATTAACAAAATTATTGGTACGGCTCCCGTGCCCGACATGGATGCTATCTACTCTGATAATTTTATATTTAATAGGTTTCTAAGATTTAAAAATTTAAAAATTTGTGTTTATAAATTTCTTTACCTAAAAAAAACTCTATTATTATATTATTTTAGAAAATAAGTTGATATTGATCGTAACACAACATTATTTTATTTATTTATTATAAAAAGAGTGCAAATATTTATATCATATTATTAAAAATTGTAACAAAATTATACCCTAAATTTCTTAATATTATAATTAATTGAAATAGGAAAATACATGGCTAACATAGTCATTGGGCTTTGGAATCTAAAAGGCCCATTCTTATTTTAGTAAGGCCCATTAAGATGTCTCTTAGGCTTCTACAAGAGGAATCCACAAAGCCCATCCTATCTGCCCTTCAATGAGTTTATCATTAAAATAAAAAATTGACTATTTCTTTTCGTGGGGATTGAGCATCCAGCATGCCGTGAGTACGAACTCTCCACAAAGATATGATATTGTCCACTTTGAAGATAAGCTCTCGTGGCTTTGCTTTGGGCTTTCCCAAAAAGCCTCATACCAATGGAGAGTATATTTTTAGATTATAAACCCATGATCATTCCCTAACTTAACCAATGTGGGACACTTTCATCTAACACCTCCTTCATTTCTTGTCTAAATAAGAAATTTTCTACCTGTTTCGGAGAAGAAATGAACATCTCTAGTTGAAACTATATAACTAGCCATACTAGTAGATATATTTGTGTGTAAATATATATATATATATATATATATATGTATATATATATATATGTATATGTATATATATATATGTATATATATATATATGTATATGTATATATATATATATGTATATATATATATATATATGTATATATATATATATATGTATATATATATATATATATGTATATATATATATATATATAATTATTAAATTACAATACCAATTCCTTAATTTTAATGATATATCTAATAAATACAAATTTTTTAAAAAGAGTATTTAATTCTAAAGTTCAATATTTATTAAATATATGGTTTGTGGAAATAAACCATGACAAACGTGTCAAGATCCCGTTGGTGGCGCCATTAATTGCGTCTATATCAGCTTCAAACCGGGCCCCACAGGGACTCACAACAACCATTTAACTTTTCATAGGAGTGGCGCGTGTACTGCACGTGCTACCCGGCTTCAAAACCCGGCCCATAATACCCATTAGACCGGTTCGGATCATGCTACGACATTTGTTGACGCGTGGCAAGCATTTATTATTTTAAAATACATTTATTATTACCTTTCAAATTAAAAAATAAAAAATAAATTAACAACTAGTTTTAAATACGCTTCATCATAAGACTATTTCTGTAAACAAAAAATTTAATTATTTTTTGAAAGGGTATTCATGACATTTTTAAAAATGAGTATTAATGGTTTGGTCATATGCGCCGTATTGTCACAATTACACTTTTCTTAGTCCCTTGTATATTATTTACTCCCGACAACAAGTGAGTCAAACCAATTTGAATTCGTGTCAATTAGACATTTAGCCTCATTTGAAAACAAAGTTTTACAAAAACGAGACAGAGAGATTTTTGAAAGTAAGAACAAGAGAATATTTAAAAGCAACGTTATATATCTATAAGCAAAAGGCACTAGAACGACTTAATAACATGTAACTTTCTGGGTAAAAAGAATTTGACAACTAGTCGCGTCCCAACGTATTTGGAGGCGATTAAGGTAAGACAAACCTAGACATGATTTCATTAAAGAGTCATACCAAATTAGGGGAGGAGATGACAACTAATCACACTATCTATAATACATTTTGAGATCATTCTAGTAGGCTTAGACATGATTTCGCTCGAATAATGATTTGGTTGTCTATTTAAGAGGAGAAGTGGCCAGTCTGAGATGACCCAGATTCAGTGCCTTGTTCTTGTTCTTGAAGTAAAAAATGGGCGTTTTGGATCATGTCTCTGAGTATTTCGATTGCAGTTCCCACAGCTCTAAGCACAAGAAACGCAAGCAATTGCAGGTAAAAATCTCCCAAGTTCTTCAAATTTTTGCTATGTTCTTGCTTAAAATCTTCATTTTTTCCCATTTTGATTCAAAATCGTATGGTTTTTTCTCTTCGATTTTGTTTCTTCGCCATTACAGACAGTGGAATTAAAGATTCGAATCGACTGCGAAGGTTGCGAGAGGAAGGTGAGGAGAGCGTTGGAGGGGATGAAGGGGGTGAAGACCGTCGACATTGATCGCAAGGCCAATAAAGCCACCGTCGTCGGATACGTCGAGCCGTCCAAAGTGATGGCGCGTGTCACTCACCGTACCGGTAAGAAGGCGGAGCTCTGGCCTTATGTGCCGTACGACGTCGTGGCACATCCCTACGCGCCGGGAGTGTATGACAAGAAGGCTCCAGCTGGGTACGTGCGAAAGGCTGATGATCCCGGTGCGTACCAGCTCGCACGTGCGAGTTCTACTGAGGTTCGCTATACGACGGCGTTTAGTGACGAAAATCCCGCGGCGTGTGCTGTTATGTAATGTGCTGTAATTTTGTTGCTTTTATTTTTATTATTTTGTGGGTTTTTGTTTTTTTCATAATTTTGTTAGTTAATGTAATTATTGGTTTGGATATTTTTGTTCTTTAGTCTAAAGTGTTATTATTATTATTATTATTATTTTGTGGTATGATTAATATTGGCTGTCAATGTCCTTTGGTGGGGCTAGTTTTTTCAATTTTAATTTTAGGCTCGGGATTCTGATTAAGATTTTAAATTTATAATCAGCACCTACTGATCGCTCGTTTTCCTGCAACATGGCCAGGTTATCTACTTATTTTGAAGTATTTTAGTGAAAACTAGCTCGATAGATCATGTTAAGAATTAGAAGCTCTAATACCGTGTTAAGAACGAGAAACATAAGTGGAATCGAAAATCCTAGTGAGATGTATAAGAGGAAGAACATCAGAGTATCATTCTTAATATAGATCCTTTCAGCATGCTTTGTTCTCATTCATATGATTTCTAGAAAAATTCTCGAGGGATCATGTAACGACCCAAATCTACCGCTAGCAGATATTGTCCTCTTTGGGCTTTCCCCTCAAGGCTTTAAAACGCGTCTGCTACGAAAAGGTTTTCAGGGTGTTTTGTTCTCCTCCCCAAACAATGTAGGACATTACAATCCACCTCCCTTTTGGGCCCAACGTTCTCCTTGTCACTTGTTCCTTTCTCCAATCAATGTGGGACCCCCACCAAATCTACCCCCTTTGGAGCTCAACGTCCTTACTGACACACCGTCTCGTGTCTACTCCCCTTTGGAGAATAGCGAGAAGGCTGTATGTGGGACCCCCACCAAATCTACCCCCTTTGGGGCTCAACGTCCTTACTGACACACCGTCTCGTGTCTACTCCCCTTTGGAGAATAGCGAGAAGGCTGTATGTGGGACCCCCTCCAAATCTACCCCCTTTGGGGCTCAACGTTCTTACTGACACACCGTCTCGTGTCTACTCCCCTTTGGAGAATAGCGAGAAGGCTGTGACACATCGTCCGGTGTCTGACTCTAATGCCATTTGTAACGATCCAGATCCACCGCTAGCAGATATTGTTCTATTTGGGCTTTCCCTTTCGGGCTTCCCCTCAAGGCTTTAAAACGCGTCTGCTAAGGGAAGGTTTCCATACGTGTTTTGTTCTTCTCCCCAACCAATGTTGGACATCACATGTCAGGAACTATAAGATGATTAAGCTATCGAAAATGAATGTACATTTTATTGATATAGGAAGTAACTATCAAATTATCAATTATTTTAAATAATTATTAACTATTTTATCATCAAGATCATTTTTATTTAGATTGTTATTCCCATTCATTCATTAATCGTTTACTCCATACCAAATGTCATGGTCCTACATTTTTAACCGTGCGGCGTCGTGATCACGACTAGCCTTAAGGGGAATTAAGCCCCATATAAATTTTTTCGCCCTGACTTTGTGGCTTTGTCGGACCTTAGGCGAGGTATGTCTTCACCAATCGAACATCACTTGTGCGGAATCCAAGCTTGTTCAACCACACACACCGCCTGCACGTGCATTTTCAATCGTCTACGACACATCCGACTTCCCCCTACATTAGGCCAACTCTTTCGGCTCAACCTTGCCTCTACTCGGGCTAAGGTCTCTCAATGCAACGTCGCATCTCGTCTTGTCATCTCGGTCTTTATCGACAGGGTCCATATGTCTTGACGCCATCTGAGTCTCGGGATATTGTCGGCCATCATAACTTGCTCGGTCATGCCATCGAGAATGGGTCCACATGTCGTTCATCTCATCGGAATTTCCCAAACATCCATCCATCCGGGTTCTATGTCACATATTTATAATGAACATTATTAATGATCTCAATTACCGGGAAATTAATAGTTTAAAAATAAATATAAAGATAAAAAATTTACATTTAATACCCATTCTAATTGTGTTTGAAAATTAATTTAATAGTTTCTATGATTTATTATTTTTAAAGAATAATTTTAACATTTTTTAATTATATGAATGTTAATGTGATATTATAAATTTGAAATAAATGATTTTTTTTAAATTTTATTTTACATAATTTCCCATCTAATCAGAAAAATTTAAAACCCAACAAAATAATTGAAATATTGTTTTGAAAAAGGAATTTTTTTTTTTTTTTTAAAAAGGCCAAAAAATATAATTTAATTGATAAGTGGGCCGGGCTTGATAATCTCAATTTGATAACCTCGGCCCAATTGTTTAAAATCTGTTGGTGTATATAAAGCGCGTCATCTTCAAGGAAGCCCAAAATTTTTAGCGGGAAAAAGTTTCACGAAGCTCCGTCAGAGTCGCAGCAATGGCGGGAGAACAGAACGGCGGTGTCGATGAGGTGATGGAGGAATTCGCCATCTGGAAGAAGAATTCTCCCTATCTGTATGATCTTCTCATTTCCCACTCTCTGGAGTGGCCGTCTCTCACCGTTGATTGGGTGCCATTGGCTCCATTTCCTCACCCAGCCAATTCTTCTCTCGCTGTCCACAAGCTCGTTCTTGGAACTCACACTTCGGAGGATGTCCCCAACTTTCTCATGGTGGCCGATGTAATTTTACCTGTCAAAGCATCCGAAACTAGAATCGACATTACTGGGGAAAACCCCATCATGCCGGAGGTTAGTGATGAATTGTTACTTTGTGCGTGCTAGGTGTTTGATGAAATGCCTTGCTGAAATTCTGTGATGTTTTGAATTGGGTTTTGGTAGGTAGAGATAACCCAGAAGATACGTGTTGATGGAGAGGTGAACAGAGCGCGATGCATGCCGCAGAACCCAGAAATTGTTGGGGCAAAAACGAGTGGCTGTGAGGTGTATGTTTTTAATTGTGCTAAACAGGGGGCGAAGGCTCAGGGAGGTGAGTGCGATCCTGATTTGAGATTGAGGGGTCATGATAAAGAGGGTTATGGGTTGTCTTGGAGCCCGTTTAAGGAGGGTTACCTCTTAAGTGGCTCAAATGATCAGAAAATCTGTTTGTGGGACGTGTCTTCCATGGCTGACAAGAACGTTCTTGATGCAATGAACGTCTATGAGGTAAAGGAACTAATCTTCCTGTTTTTTTGTTGAGGGCTATTGTTTTTAACTTTACTTTAAAATGATATTGCTGTTTTTATATTCAGGCTCATGAAAGTGTGGTCGGTGATGTGTCATGGCATTTGAAGAATGAGAACTTGTTTGGATCTGTAGGCGATGATTGCTTGTTGGTGATATGGGATTTGCGCACAAATAAATCTGTGGATTCTGTTCGAGCTCACGAGGAGGAGGTAATTCTATTCTGAACCTCTTTGTAGCATTAGGCAATTGACTCTCTTACTTGCTTAGCTTGTCAATGTCTTGGGTGGTTAAGAATCACGACTCTTCACAATGGTATGATATTGTCCAATTTGAGCATAAACTCTTAATGCTTCCTTTTGAGTTTCTCTAAAAGGACTCATTTAATGGAGATGTATTCCATACTTATAAACTCATGATCAATCCCTAAATTAGCAAATGTGGGACTCTCTCCCAACAATCCTTAACACCTTTCTAGAGTCGGGATTGGGGTTGATTGGAATAGAGGTTGTACCTGTGCTAACACTGGCTTTTGGCGGATATATGATGCTATATTCAAACAGCTAACTGAAGAATGGCGGTTTGGGTAGCTTAGGCCACATGATCATCGATCAGGGTTCAGATTTTTTTTTAGTATCTGCAAGTGTCTGAACCAGCATATACCCACACCTCGAGTATTCTCGATCATGATCAAGATTCAGTCTTGAGTTAGAATTATATCTCTTATGAACACCATTTACATATACTCTATGTTCTACTGACACAAATTTTCTGTTCCATGGATTGATTACAGGTGAACTATGTTTCTTTCAATCCATATAACGAATGGATTTTAGCAACAGCATCATCAGATACCACCGTGGGTCTCTTCGATCTACGAAAGCTTGCCGAACCACTCCACGTTCTTAGCAGCCACACGTATGTCTCTCTCTACATATCACTATCAAATCATCTGTCTTTATTTACATTTAAGCAAAAAACAATGATTTGATATTTCTTTGTGATCCTTTCTTGTGTGTCTAACTTCCGTGTGTTTGTTTACAATTCTGGACAACGAGTTTGTTTTTAGTTTTCTGTCGTAGAAAATTGTGTTTTATTTCCTTACAATATATTTACCATGGATTTCATCTCTCTTAGAAGAACACTCGAGTTCTTAACAAAATTCAAAAAACAAAAACAAGTTTCAAAAATCTATTTTCTTGCATCTGGTCTGGTAACTATTGACTTTTTTTAATTTTTTTAAAAAATTAAGCTTTTAAACATTGGTTCTATTCCATAACAAATCGAAGATACTTATACGCAGAAATAGTGTTATAAGCTTGATTCTAAAGAACAAATGATTATCAAACGGGATTTAAGCAAAGGAAAGAGTAATATACTGATTGGTGACACAGGGAGGGAGTGTATGAGGTGGAGTGGGATCCAAATCACGAAACTGTATTAGCATCTTCTGGTGATGATAGAAGGTTGATGGTATGGGATCTCAACAACATGGGAAACGAGCAAGATGGGGATGCTGAAGATGGGCCTCCAGAGCTGCTGTTTTCACACGGAGGCCACAAGGCTAAAATCTCTGACTTCTCCTGGAACGCCCACCAGCCTTGGGTTATAGCAAGCGTCGCTGAAGACAACTCTGTTCAGGTCTGGCAAATGGCCAAAGGTATTTATCGAGGATGATTTCTACTTTACTCCATTCTTCAAATTTAGCCACTTTAAGGTTTTCTTATGTATTAGGAGTCGTCTTCTCGTGCTTGTGCTTGTGTAATGTTATGTTTCTGCTGCTGTTTTGACAAAGATTATTCTCTTTAGCGTAGGCGGCTTACCTGACAAGATATTTAAGTCAAGGTATAGATCGAGAGTAATTACTGATAGGTTGCTTGACTTTGTGCCTATTACACACCGCTTATATCTTTAAAGGTTCAAGCTTGGGGCGAAGGCCAAAACGCATAATCAAATAAGAAACACAAAAGCTGCCTCTAAAGAAAATAATTCTCAGAATGCATATTAGAAACTGAAATCAAATAGAGAACAAAACCGATACAATTGGATGCACTGCCTTTTGATAGTTTTCAAAGAGAGAAAAAGGCCGAATCGAAATGTTGTTCGAGTCCCCATTTGGGGCCAATCAAATTTGCTCTACTTTCACTAACACAACTTGGCAAAGCTATTCCATTTCGCTTCTCCACCTTCAAAGACGCATATAGGAACTGGAGTGTTCCATAGGAAGAAGCTTCGCCATTTCAAGTACCTACCTCAGATGGGTCGAGAGATGATAATCAAATGTTGCAGTTGCGCAACAATACACTTGTTGATTGAGGTATGCACCACCCCGCAGGCATTGACTGGATGAAGACGTTGATGTCCGACTGGACTAATCAGTTCATCGGGTCCACGTCTCTTTACGTTGTCCTAATAAGCGAATGACAGAACAAAAGTGTTACAACTTATATCAAAAAGAAACCTGTTATTTTCATAGGTCCCAACAAAAGTCGAATAAAATGGAAAACAATATGATTATATAACACTATTCAACCATGGCCAGTTCATAAAGCAAACATCTCCTTTTCATGATCCAGGAAAAACTAGGGTAGGTCTCTTATCCACTAGATTCAAGATAAGGAACTTTATTTTGCTATAAAAAAAAAAGGAAAAATCAGGTCACATTATCGTAGAACGAGGAACACTCGAATGTGGTAAACAGTTGGGCACCGTTTCTTCAAAAGAGTGGCCAATAAACACATTGCTCTCAAGAAACTGCTATATCATGTGAGGCACACTAATGTCTTTCACTATCTTACGTTTCTTATACAGAAAAAAATGTTTTCCACCCTGTGATTATAAGGGCTTGTACAATCACAAACTATAACACTTCTGGAGCCCATCGTTAGCAGTTATCGTCCACTTTGATTCATTACGTATCACTGTCAACCTCTCGGTTATTAAAACGCGTCTACTAGGGAGAGGTTTCCACACCCTTTTAGGAAATGTTTCGTTCCCATCTCTAACCGATGTGAGACCTCACAATCCACCCCCTTGAGGGCTCAGTGTCCTTGATGGCACACCGCCCAATGTTTGGCTCTGATACCATTTGTAACAACCTAAACCCTACCGCTAGCAGATATTGTCCGTTTTGATCTGTTACGTATTGCTATCAGCCTCACGGTTTTTAAAACTTCCACACCCTTATAAGAAATGTTTCGTTCCACTCCCTAACCAAGATAGGATCTCGCACAAACAATCCCTTACTGAAATAAAATTAGAATATTATACTTTTAGACATCAAATCACAAAGGCAGACAAACCAGGAAGTCATACATGCATCGGAGCAACCACAAGTTAATACACAAATCAGGAGAGAAAATGAGCTGCAAAACTCAAACCTGCTTCAATGAACATGTGAGCCACACAATGAATCAAGAGAAACATGTATCATATAACAAACAAAAACAAGAAAGGATTATCAGCAAAGTTAGCTCAAATTCAGCCAATTAATTACTCTAGAGAAGCATCATAGAAAATGGAGGCCTCAGTTTTCACCTTTTCTCTTTGTCACTCCAGAAGAAATATCATTTGAAACAGCATTCCCCATCCCGTCCCCAAGTAGCTCTTTCGATCCCGAGTCATGATTCGCCAAACACTGAAGATTTTCAAATCCACAAGCACCAAAACTCTGTTCATTTATCACAGCACCTTCACCACTTCTACTTCCATTACCCTCAGGATGAAGGCAGTAAACCTGATCATCACACTGCATATTACATGGGTTCATCACATAAGCACCAGGGTTGCTTGTGTTGGACAGGTTGGGATTACCAGTTTTCTGATAAGGAAACGAACCAATCTCCCCTTCAATTCTGCCCCTAATATCCACAAGCAAACACTTGAGCCGAGTAATCTCAGCCTCCAACGCTGCCTGCCCTTGCAACCTCTTCATCAAATGCTGATTCAAAGCCCTCAATCTAACAACCTCATCCTCTAATGAGGCTGCCCTAGCCTTCTTCTTCTCACGATACTTACGAACAGCTTCCTGGTTACCCAACGGGCGTTTCTTCGACTTCTTTTCAGTCGATTCCGCAGTATCATCAGTAACAACCTTGTCTTCTTCAGGTGAGGCAGGGAGAATTTTAGTGTGGACATGGAAACAGGTGTGGGTATGAGAGTAATCAGGGCCCGGTGGAATGCAAGTATGAGTATGAGTACAAGTATGAACGTCTTTGAGAAGATCATCAAAGAAACTATCCATTGAGCAACTGCTTGGAATCGCCATATTAGGGTTCGAAAACACTTCTTGATTCGAAAAATCAATCTCCCCGTCGTCCATTATCCAATAATGTAATACTAACCAGAGCAAGTAATTCAAAAATTTGATACTCAGCTACCGATTCCTGGACTCTAAATCAATAATTAAGCTTCTGAATCGAATTACGCAAATGAGATTTCAACTTTCAACACAATTAATTACAAAATCGTGAAAAGAGCATACTAAATCTACCTCTAGAGAATTTCAATAAAATCGTCAACTAAATCAACGAGGAACAACAATCAATGCGTCTGTTAAAAATCACGCCGCAGGATTAATCAAAAAGCGCCATGAAAACGAGGCAATGCTTACCAGATAAAACCGCTAAAGAAATCAAACCATGAAATCGAAACGAAATCGAAGGGAAAAGAGAGCATTTGATAAATGTAAAACGAAAACCTAATTGGAAAAGACATGAACAAGGAAGAACAGAGAGGGAAAAAATGAAAATCGAAGCGTCTGAAATCTTCAATGGACGCCATTGAAGATAAATTTACAAGTTTTTGAAGGACAGAAATGTAATTTCGTAAACAATAAGGGAAATTATTGGCTGCTTTTAACAGTACGATAAACTGACATTTGTGGGTCCGCCCGATTTCTCAGGTGCGATCGAATCAAATCAGGACCGTCAAAATAGTAAGATTTTTTTTTTTTAAAAATCCATCACTTTCAATTATTCTCTTTACTAGCAAATTTTATAACTCAATTCTCTATTTTCGGGTTAAGTTGGGTCAGTTATTTTTTAATAAGAGTATTTTTAATAAAATAATAAGAAAATTAAAAAATATTAATGGAACAAAGTTAGGACACAAAATTCACCCGACTCATACAAAATCATCCCTTTAGCATTCACCTCTAGATTGCCTCCTTCGAGACCTTTATTTCATTTTTCTCCCCATGACCTTCCGCCTCTTCCAACCATGCTGCAAGCCACCCGCTCGACTCACTTCTCCCTCCTCGTCCCTGCACCATCGACGACGTCGTCTTTCTCTCCTTACTATCTACTTGTCGTTGGCGTTGTCTCTGGTTGCTTATTTCTACAGGCGCCTCACCAATGGTATTATCTCGTTGAGTTTCCATTGGCTTCTTGCTACCATCATCGTTGTGAATCTTTGGCACTTGACGTGAGCCTCCGCGCTTGACAAAGAAACAAGCCATAGAACCAAGAATGATGACGAATTCAATGTACAAAATAATTAATTGAAACCAATTTGGTTTCTGTTTGATATACGTTTCGATTGAATCTTCTTAATAAATGATACTAATCTTGTGTAGAACACACGTTCTTAAATAAATACAAGCCTCTCGTTTATGTAATAAGTAATAACCACACGTTAACATAACAATACTTCGTTTTGGTAGTTACAACAAATAACATTATCCGTCCTCGAAAAATAAAAAAGAATAACACGTAACACTATATCGTTTAAAAAAAATAAAAAAATTAACAAAAAACGAGAAAAATAAGATAAAATATCACTCCCGGTTGTAATATCCATTTTTTTAAAAATAATAATAATAAAAAAAAACATAGGAATTTGGCGGTGAGGAAAGAAAACGGCAGAACCACACCTTCTTCCGTGGCCTCATTGTTGATTGTTAGGTTAAAGATATTTCGTGACATTGTAAGGTTAAAGATATAGTTCGGTTGAACTGGTTTGGTTCATTTTCTCCGTTTTTCGAGCTAATTTCAACCATACTAATAGTTTTATAATTTTAGGACCTGATTAGGAGATTTTGAGATCTCAACGAACCAAAAACATGTCTCAAATGAACTAAACGAGCCTAACCCACTTCTAATCCCTTCAAACGAACACTTTGTATATCAAATTAGTTCAAACGTCTGAATTGAAAACATTTTGAAACCTTAAAAAAAACAAATGCACTTCAAGGAACTAATCGTGTTTAGCATCCTACTCCTAAGCCTTTCAAGACCAAAACTTTATGTGTCAGACTAGTTAAAACGTGCCTAAATAGCTAAACCCTAAACTTTATATGTCGGACTAGTTAAAACCCTTTATTCATCAACTTAAAAGATATTATGGATTGTAAGAAATTAAAGTTGTGCTTTTAACTTCGATTAGTAATTTAAACTTCGAACTAGTTAAATATGTTTTAACCGTTATTTTAAAACTATAAGCAATTGAAAACGTGCCTAATTTGACTCGTTAACCTTTCAAAAGTATCGTTCTTAGCACATAGAACGTAACTTCTCAAATAAATAAACGTATAGGTACATAAAGAATGTAAATAATATCAACAAACCCGACGAACACGAAACAAAATCATCCCGTTAGCTCGCTCATGGCCGCCTCCTCCAAGGCCTTTATTTCATCTTTTTCCATATGGCCTTCAGCCTCTTCCAACCATGCTGCAAGCCATCCGCCCAACTCATTTCTCTCTCCTCGTTGTCGTAGCGTAAAGGACACCGTCTTTTGCTCCTTATTGTCTACTCGTCGTTGACGTCGTCTCTTGTTGCCTATTGCTTCTAGTGTCTCACCAACAGTATCATCTCGTTGAGTTTTAATTGACTTCTTGCTACCCTCATCGTCGTGAATCCTTGGCACTTGACGTGATGCTCTGCACTTGACAAAGAAACAAGCCATAAAATCGAAAACAAAATAAAAAAACGACGAATTCAATCAACTGAGTTTTTATTTTGATAGGATGTTCTTAAGAAATGATACTCGTTTAAGGATAATCTTCTATAGAACACATATTCTTAAATAGACACGCGCCTTCCTTTTACGTAACAAGAATTAGCCACATAGTTACCTAACAAAACTTAGTTTTGGTAGCTCGAACAAATAACATTACCTTCTCCAAAAAATAATTCAAAAAAAAAAAAAAAAATTAGATAGTCATTATTAAACTAAATTAATAAAAATATCCATAAACTTTCTATTTTATCTCGAGAAGAATTTAATAATATCCTTAAACTTAAAAAAAAAATACTTTACTGTTAATTTACAGAGTTTTATTAGTACTCTGAACGTTTTAAAAAAGTTTAAAAATGTCATTACTGATGGTACTATGTTAAAAAAATACAGATGAAAATTTTAAAATTAGCATTAACACACCCTTTACTTTTATGAAAAAAATTTCTTATTGTTAATATATGGACGAAAATCGTTTACTAACACCTCATAGATTATCTCAAAAAATTTTAACGTTACTTTTGAAAGTTCATGAGTATTTTTAAAACGTGATACTAACAATGAGTTGAAGGCGACAACTTGATTGAACCAGTTTAACTTTTTCGATTTGACCTCAATTTTTCGAGTTAATTTCAAGTGTACTAATTTTATGTGAGATCCCTGTACTAATTTGGACAGAAGAAAGAAACAATTCAAACCTCTTCCTAAACTATGAGGCAGACGACGATAGTAACGGGCCAAAGTAGACAATATCGGCTAACGATGAGCTTGAACTATACAAACAAAATCAGAACCAAACACTAGGCGGTGTGCCAACGAGAATGCTGACCTTAAGAGAGGGATGAATCGTGAGATTAACGGAACCATTTATACAAGTTTGTACACATACAAATAAAGACAAAAAAATTTTAAATCATTTTTTTTGTTCGTTATTTAGAATATTTATGACGTCAATAATAATTATCATTAAAGTAGTGAACAAACATCAATAATACAAAGTGAATAGTTAACCCATCGCATATTTGTGGGTCCAGCTCCTAGCGGTGGATTCATATTTGACTTTATCAGTCTTGCACATGTGAGCAATCTCTGGAACCAGTGGATCATCTGGGTTTGGATCAGTTAATAGTGAGCATATTGATAGCAAAACCTGCAAAATTCGATTTCTTGAGTATCGATACGAATCGAATTGTTAATGCGTTCATCTGGTCGACAAGTGGACTCATGAAACTCTTTAACTAAACGGGTTTTGATTGATCTTTTCTTTGTTTACAGGTATGAAGATTTAAAGTTGAAATGAACTTACTTTCGATATCGTTAGTGCGGGACTCCATTGTTCCTTGAGGATATCCAAGCAGATGTTGCCGTTGCTGTTTATGTTCGGATGAAACACTCGTGTTCTAAAGGCAACCTTAGGAGGCTTGAAAGGATAATCGGGAGGAAAATGAATGGAGACAAGAAAAACTCCACCGGCATAGGGACTATCATTTGGACCGATAATAGTTGCTTGCCAATGAAACATATCCTCAGCTACTGGACCTGAAAAATACACGAGCATAAACTCAAATTCATGAACCAACCTAACGCTTAAAGTTTTCATTTATTTGAACTAATTGAACCCTAATAAGTTCGTCGAGTCGTTTGAACATCCTTAGATATTCAAAATTTTCCTTAAAAAATAAAAGTGGTGGTAAAGAAATCGTGGAAAATCAAACTCAATTTTCAAAAACCAAGAATAAGATAATTATGCGTGGTCGTCAGATATTGCCCGTTTTAGCTCGTTACGCGTTGTCATCAGCCTCACAATTTTAAAACCCGTATGCTAAAGAGAGTTTTCCACACCCATATAAGGAACACTTCGTTCCTCTCTCCAATCGATGTAGGATTTCACAAAACATTCCATGGGGGGGCCAGCATCCTCGCTGGCACACCGCCCATGGGCTCTGATATCATTTGTAACAGCCCGAGGCCAACACTAGCAGATATTGTCCGCTTTGACCTGTTACATATCGTCTTTAGCCTCACGATTTTAAAACGCGTATGCTAAGAAGAGGTTTCCATATTCTTATAAGGAATGTTCCGTTCCCCTCTCCAACCAATGTGGGATCTCACAGTTACCATATCAAACGTTAATGAACGAAGCTCAATCTTCGATTATTTAACACGAAAAATGTTATAAAAGGAAAAGTAGAAACAAAAATTAAACTTTTGTGATCATAAAGTATCCCTAATTCACCTGCACTACAAGAAGTTGGTGGGTCTCTCTGCAAGTCTTTAAGCTCCTTCAATATTCTCTTGGACGCCATTGTTGCAACTTTTAAGCTTTTGATTGTACAGAAGAAGATCGAGGATGAAGAAGGAAGAAGAAGAAGAGAACTGGTTTATTGCTCACGGCAAAGGGCTCAAAACAATCTAATATAATGGCCACAAAGGGAGGGTAAAGGTTCTTTTGGACTTCTCAAAGTGGGAACAGAATAGATTCTTTCCATACATGATAATAAGCTAATATATTAAGAATCTTGTGTGAATTTGATACCGAAACAGACCAAGCCCAATTCCACCTTTAGTAGATATTGTTCGCTTTGATCAATTACGTACCGTTATCAACCTCATAAGTTTAAAACACGTCTATTAGAGAGAGATATCCACACTGTTATACGTCGTTACCAAAGCCAGACACTGGACAGTGTGTCAGCGAGGACGCTGGCCCCCAAGGGAGTGAATTGTGAGATCCCACATCGGTTGTGAATAGGGGAAGTCGTCTTTGCCAATTCACATAGGTATCATAATGTTTACTCTAGTCCAAACCTCTATATACAAGTTTCATTAATTTAAGTTCATTGAGCTCGTCGAATTGAAGTCGGTGGAAAATTTTGGTCAAACGACGATAATTGGAAATTTTTTACCTTTTGGCTTGGTCAAAAGAATATTAAAGTTTTGACCACAAAATTAGGGTTTGGATTTTAAGAAAAAAACATTTAGGATGATCTCCAGCCACTCTCCACCATCGTCTCTCTCTCTCTCTCGTGCCGACGAATTCCTCCCGTGTGATTGACGATAGGGTGAAGTCGAGTAGCAACCTTTGAACCAACAACCTTTGAACAACCCTTCCTACGAGGGCTCATTGACAGTTAGATTCACAAAATTGGGCGTTTTCGAATATTTTCTAGCAAGGAATCACGTTTCCCGAGTCATTTTTAGTCATCAGGTCACTACAATGTTTCGATATTTTAAGCTTGGACCTCAACCTTCATTGCTTTCCTTTTAGTTCCATATAAAAGGTCTCGCACCAACGAATATAATTGTTCTGACTTATGTACCACAAATTCTTCTTGAGACTTTTCAGTGTGACTCAATTATTAAAATCGCTCCAGATACCCTTTTTCAACGTAGTTTCTAGAAAAATAACCACACGCTTAAATTACAAGAAAACAAGAACAGTTTTCAAAATACAGAAGTCATTATCAAACAAGAACTTAAGTTCTAAATATATCGATCATCAATACGAGTGATGGCCAGCTGTATCACACGAAATATTATAATGAATATCAAATATACAATGGAAAGAATTACACAACATGTAAGCAAGATATTCGAAGTGAGCCAAGGGAATTAGATGGGCATTTAAAATTTTGTATATATTCTTTGGAAGAGAAATCAGATTCATTTTGGCTTCTCCATTGTCCATTGATATAAAATGCTTCAAAAAAAATACTTCATTCTTTTATTCCTCTTGTTTTTGACCATTTTGCTTTTCTTGGTTCCCTCGCCTATTTTTGTAGCCAATGGATACATCTTACAAACCTACCAATTGTAACCGTCCAAGCTCATCGGTAGCAGATATTATCCTCTTTAGACTTTCTCTTTCGGGCTTCCCCTCAAGGCTTTAAAACACGTCTACTAGGGAAAGGTTTCAACACCCTTATAAAAGATGTTTTGTTCTCCTCCCCAACCAATATGGGATATCATAATCCACCCCCTTCAGGGTTCAGCGTCCTCGCTGTCATTCGTTCTTTTCTCCAATTGATGTGGGACCCCACTAAATCCACCCCCTTCGGGGCCCAGCGTCCTTACTGACACACCGCCTCATGCCTACCTCTTTCGGGGGACAACCTCCTCGCTTGCACATCGCACGGTGTCTGGCTCTAATACCATTTGTAAGAGTCCAAGCTCACTGCTAGCAGATATTGTCTTATTTGGGCTTTCCCTTTTGAGATTCCCCTCAAGGCTTTAAGATGCGTTTACTAGGGAAAGGTTTTCACACCCTTGTAGAGGGTTCTTTGTTCTCCTCCTTGACCAATGTGGGATATCACAATTCACCCCCCTTTAGGGCCCAGCGTCCTTACTGGCACACCGTCTCATGTCTAGCCCCCTTCGAGAAACAATCTCCTCGCTGGCACATCGCCCCGTGTCTGGCTCTGATACCATTTGTAAGAGTCCAAACCCACCGCTAGCAGATATTGCTCTCTTTGGGCTTCCCCTCAAGGCTTTAAAATGCGTCTGCTAGGGAAAGATTTTCATACCCTTATAAAAGGTGTTTCGTTCTCCTCCCCAACCAACGTGGGATGTCACACATATATAAAAAGCAAAAAGCTGATTAAACAAAGCACAAAAGTTCATAGGATCAGACAACAACATCAAGCTAAAAGTGATATGGACTCATGAACAGTATAGGCATTGGCATGTAGTAAGCAGGCAATTCTTAATGGAAGTTTATAATAATGCATCTAAAGAGAAAGAGAAGAGAAGATGCCTGTGATTATAGCTGAATCAAACAAAGCAGATCAGCTGCCATCATCTTCATAGGCCACACGGCCGCTGGTACCTCAGCTGGTCACTGAAAACGACTCGAAGCTTCCATGAACAACCGACCAGATTGACAATGACTATTCACCAAATGTGTGGCACTGGCTAGAACCTGAAACATGAGGACAGTGACTCGAACGATCTTTAGATTTATCAAAATGAATCATCATTGGAAATGGCAAGAGCAAAGTTTGGAAATATTAAAAAAGATGCATTATCAGTAATAAAAACTTCAAGCATGAAAAATAAGAAAAGGGTCGACATGGGTTTAATCGGTTTCATCGTTTCATCTTTGTATACGCTGGATACGAGCACAGTAAATAGAACGACAGTAAGAGGATTGCAAAGGAAAAAAGGAATACATCTTGCATAAAAACATAACTTAATTTAACAAGAAACACAACATGATCAGCAGCTCAATGAGAACAAAATTACCAAATATGATATCTAACAACGATGCCTAAAAGCACTACAGAAGAAGAAGAAAGCTTGTGGGGGTGGAAAGAAGGAAGGAGCAAAGCTTAGAATCACTTGCATTTGAAGCTAACCGGTATGAGACGTCCAATCGCCATCATTATTATACCTATATGCAAAAATTCAGCTGCAACTGTAAACTAAATTCCATCATTGTCCATACTGCCACTGTTGATAACTACCCAGAAGCTTTCTGAGTAGAGGAAGGAGACCAACAATAGCGATCTGAAGCTGTTCGGAGCTGTTTAACCGAAAGCTGACTTGCCCTGCTCCCCTGTTATTCAAATTCATGCGAGTAATCAGGTTTGTAGATCGTCCAACGGGAACTTGAGATTGTACGTTGCAACCGATAGCAAGATCTCCATGCCAATCCATGACCGAAAGCCCGAGAGTTGAAAGTGAACGACCCAAAGGATAATCTTTATCTCTCAATTGAGCTTCCAGGCTGCCACCATAAGCTAAATCTCCTCTGCCAGTCATTGCACCCCCGGTCACAACTAAACGAAATCGCTTATTAGCAATCAATTTGTCCTCAACTTTGAATCCTGCAGATAAGGCGTCACCTAATAGAGCAATTGATAGACCAGCAATTGCTTTGTTCTTCCTAAAATTAATGAACGTCGTCTCACCTCGTAGCGTATAGGCCAAATCCTTCCCAACAGTTTGCATATCAAAACCAATGGAGGATGATTTAGTCTCCCCATGCTTTATTGAACTGTTCATCTCTATTTGAACATTTGCATCCTTCTTATCCTTTGTAACTTGACCACTAAAAGAGATGGGTATTGCATCTTTTATGACAAACAACTTCTCTGCGTTTATGCCTTCATATCCAACATCGTGATCCCATCCATGTGTTTCGAGTACGGGCCTAATTAGCCACTGGTTAGAGGAATCAAGATAACGATACCGGTGAGTGGGATTATCAGAATCAAAGGAAGCAGGTAATGCCAAATCGGGCATGGGAACTGGAACGGATGCCGCAGCACCACTATCTTCTTCTACGTTTTCACTATAGTCGCTGGGTTGACGTTTTGCCTCCGCAGCCATTTTCTTCATGATCTTCCTTCTCATTTTCTCTTCTTTTAGTTGCTTCTTCATAAAAAGTTTTTCCCTGTATTCCAACTCGTCAAAGTAGGCATTTTTCTGTTCTTTGGAGAGCTTTGCCATCTGTGCCTTCGTTAATCGTTTAAAAGGTGGCAATTCATCATATTCAGATTCATTTTCGGAATCTGATGATTCATCAAGGTCATCCTCAAGACCATCATCATCAGAAAACTGTTCTTCTGGCAGTTTCACTTGAGGTCTGGATTGAAGAAGGGAGGAGAGAAGGAACGGTAAAGGAGGTGACTTCGACCGAGGAGCAAATTGCCTTCCGGGAGGACTATCTTGCAACTTCAAAAGAGTGTTAGCTTCGGCCAAAATCTTGGATGCAAACGAGAGTAATAACAGATGAGGTTTCCAAACCTGACCATTTGGCAATACCCTTTGCCCAGCTCTGTTTGTTCTGCAAGCAGAGTGATTCTCCACCAACGAGACCGGATTCATAAGTCGCATATCCCCTGCAGCCTGGCGTATAGCTTGCTGTACAACATGAGATCGCTGCGTGACGAACATATCATAACTAGAAGCAGTACCATTTGGACCATCGGGTGGAGCAGATGCTGCATGAGTAAGAACCACAATTGCATTGAACCATATTGAAGGTCCAAATATTTCAGTAATTGTACGCAAGAGAGGCATGTCACTCGAATCCCGGCATTGCATGTCCAACCGATCAAGGTACAAAACAATATCTGGAGGCGTCTTCTTTATAAAGCGCTTAACAGAAAGAAGGATCTTCTCGTTTTGGCGCTGGTCTGACCAAGAAGAAAGAAGACCAGGAGTGTCGATGACTCGCACTTTGATCCCCTGCACAGTTCCCACCACATCTTGAACCTTTTTTGTGCCCATTTGAAAAGCATCAGTACTGAATTTAACTTCATCGAATATGGAGTTGATGGTAGCGCTTTTACCCACACCCGTCTTTCCAAGAACCATGATTGTACAAGTGAAATCAAGTGGTTCCTGCCCAGCTGCCTCCAGCTGCTCTGCCATGGCACTAGCACGGTCAAAGCTAAAGGCACCAACCCG